AGGTTACTTCAAAGTGGCAGCTCCACAGGGAGTCTGTAACCAGACTCCATGCAGTGCTGCCCCTTTGAAACACTGCCTCCGTGTTTCAGAGCAGCGCAGAACAGCACAGCACAGAATTGACCCTGGGGTCCACACAGCGCTGCTCCTTTGAAATGTTGTGACAGTGCTTCAAAGGGGCAGCACAGCACAGCTGAGCCCACACTCTGTACGGTGCTGCCCCTTTAAAAATCCCAGCTGATCCCAGATTTTTCATGGCATTTCAAAGCAGGAGTACAGCATGAAGCCTCGGGTCAGCAGGGAACTTTGAGTCCCCCACTGACCGTGGGCTCCATGAGGGCAGTTCTTCTTTGAAATGCACAAGAGCCCCCACTAGGGACTCTTGTACATGTCAAAGCTGGCACACCTCCTACAGTGGAACTACCTGCTAGCCCCAGGCTGCACATCGAGTTCCGCATTCCTACTTTGAAATGTACAAGAGCCCCAGCATCTAAGAATGGCAAAAGAGAACTCCAAATCCAAATAAGCTTTCCCATATTACACTACAGAACATTTACCCATATCCTTTTACTCTGTATCCGTTAACAGGGGAGCTAGCAATGTGATATGAAATGTGGACAATTAGAAGGCAGAAAAACCAGCTTCCCCAGTTTTCACTTTTGGCCGCTTTCACAAGTCAAGAGCCCTTTTGTTCCCACACCTTCCGAGTGTGGACATAGCCTTAGGTTTAGTCTAGGAAACTCCTTAGTGCCTCGCCTGGAACATGGCTTAGCTCCAACTGTTGGGAGCTTAAAGTTACTAATCAGCAATGGCAGGGATTGATGAGCCCTTCCCTTTGGCCTCCGAACTCTGTATGGTCACTGCCAGACACTCAATTTGGCTCTGCCCACGAGGCAGCCCGGCACAACTTTGCACCCAGCTCCTCCAATTTTTAGTTAGCGGGGGCAGTAGAGCAGCCACCTACAACCTGGCTTGCTCCGAACAGGACTCCGCGTGAAGTGTAAACTCTCCAAAGCCGCGTGCGCTGGACACTCGCCCCATCCTTCCTCCTGCGATCAACTCTCATAAAGTCGCACCCCAAAGGGCCTCCACCCCCTGCACAAGCGACGGGAGAGCCTGGTCTCCCTGAAAGATCAAGGGAGTGGGGGAGGGGGACTGGCGCTTCAACGGAGCGACCTTGAGCTACAGAGCCGACAGGCTCCAGAGCAGCTGGCGCGCCCACCCGAGGCCCAAGAGAGCTCGAGGAGGCTCAGGCCAGGAGCCTTGGCTGAGGCTGCTCTGAGGTGCGAAAGCAGCTTCAATTCTCTCTGCCCTCCGGGCTCTCGCGACGTCACTCGGGCCACGCTTGGCGAGCGCAGCCAACGTCGGTCCCCCCCGGACCCGGCGTCACGAGGGGAAGCGGACCACACCTTGTCCGGCTGCCTCTCCCGCCACCGCACAAAATGGCGTCAACCAAGAAGAGAGGCAAAGCGCGCGAACGCCCTGAAGAAGGCTCCCGGAGAGCGCCGATCGATCGATCGCATTCCTCTCTCAGGCTTTCAAGCCTGCCTAGATGATCGAATGATCGATTGATGAGCTCGCCTCCCATTTGGTTCAAGGACTCCTCGCCCGTGCTGGAGTTGTCGTGTGGGTCGCGCTTGCTCTGGCTGTGCTGAGAGGGGTCTGCTTCGCCACTGGCTTGTAGTGCCTGAATTGCCCCTCAGCAGAACACAGTCAGAACATCACGTCTTGTGTCACCTTCAAAATCATTTAGGCTTAGAAAGGGAGACGGAGTCATTACGAGGATGGCTCTAAAATTGCAGCTCCTGGCAATGTAGGGGTGGGTTTTCTTTCCCTCTACTTCGCCAGAAGGAGGGGTGGGTTTGGTGTTTCTGGTGGTGACTTGCTTCCTTCCAACCTGACTCAGGCACTGCTTTGGTCAGCAGTGGAAATTTGCTTCTCTTTGGGGCAGGCAGCTAGGGGGCAGGGTGGAAGTTGCAGAACTTGCATGGGATGAGATCCCAAAACGGGCCCTATGCTGCCAGAACAGATCTGGGCATGAGCTGCCTTCTCTCTGCTCCTTCTGCTGGAAGCGGGGGATGCCTGAAATTTTCCTTCTCTGATGACCCACTTAATGAAGGGTCTAGAATAAATGATACCTTGTTGTTTCCTTTTTTCTGGGCTCTACTGGGATTGAGGATAAATACAGTAATTCCTCATTTAACACTAGAGATTCATTTCTGAAAATGTTCGTGCTAAGCGAAAACGTGCCATGCAGGGTTAATTTTCCCGTTAAAAGTAATGGAAGAGGTGGGGGTTGCGTTTCAGGTGGTGGTGGTAAAGTCAATTTTTTGTTGGTGCTGGGTCATCAATGTCAACATTAGATATCTAGCAACACAAGTCGCCACAGTTTGTTAAAACACAAAGAAACACGTGAGTGAGCGGAGGAGCGCTGTGACCACGTGTATTCATCCGCTCATGCCTATTACCACTGTTTTCACCAACTTGTACCTCCGCACAAAGTAGTCAGCTATTTGATTATTTTCATGTTATTTCGGGGATGGTCGTGTTATTCAAGAAACATTCCCTAAAAAAAATCATGCTATTGTGAAACATGTTAAGCGGGCACATGTTAAACAAGTAATTACTATAAATAGGCAGGTGGACTTGGGAACTATAGCACATCTATACATTTCAGGGGCATTTAGAGCAGTGTTTCTCAACCAAGGGTACTCTAGAAAAGTCTGGGGGGGGGGAGGTACGTCAACACAACTGAAATTTGGAGAAAACTGAATTTTTGTTTTAAGTTTTACAGCGCTTTATAATTTTTGTACTTTTTACACCCAAAAATGTTGCAATGGTAGAAAAAAAATGTGTCTGAAAACTGTAGGTACTGGGAGTACTTATAACTTTTTAAAGGGGTACTTTATTTTAAAAATAGGTTCGGAAACTGATCTAGAACATCAACAGCTATTAAAGGGGGCTTTTATACCTTTGTATGTTAGGCACTCATCTGATGGCGCTCTCATGCCCCAGGTGGCAAAGCTGTTTCATCTATATGCCCTCTGTTATTGCATTCCTTTCTACCAGAAATCAGAATGACTAATCAGATTCTCTTAAGGGCAAAATGGAAAATACATCTTGTTGCAAAGCCTTCACGCAAATTCAGTGCCTGAAAAATTGCCCTGAAGTATGTAACTGAAGAGAAAACCATGAATACACACAAATTGTGCTAACAGTGAAATAAGAGGGAGAAATAAGGAAGGACAACATTCTGCTTAATGTTACACATCTGTGAATTTGGAGTAACTCAATTGGTGTCAGTAGATTTAGGGCTTGTCTATACATGGAATTATTCAGAAACAGTTTATTCTTGAATAACTTCATTTGTAGACAAGCCCTTTTTTCAGTGGTGGTCATGAAAGCAGAATTTAGACCAGTGATTTTCATACTGAATGCATTAGTAAAAGACACTATAGTAATAGCTGCGCTAGAAAAAAAAAGATAGATTAGATTCATTAGGTTTATCTGTAGAGTATCTCTGGGAGATGTGTGCAAAGATCTACAATATTTTCATTTAATCTTAGAAGGGATTTATTTATTTGTGCTTCTGAGCTTGAACATGAAATCAACTTCTGAATATTTTATTAAAATCAAAGAGATATTAAGTAAAATATTTTAATTGCAAAAGTTGGGGGTCCATAAAAATATTGTAGATTGCAGTTGTCTCACCATTAAAACCTTTCTTTTGAAATAATAAACTTCAAATTAATTGCTATATTGTCTCAAGCAATCTAAATTATAAACTGGTTCAAAGCTTTATGACATCCAAAAATAATATAGAGGGAACTACTGTAAATACGTATTTTCTCATACATAAATAGATGAAAACATTTTTTTTCTCAAATACTGATTTATGAATTTCCATATATTCTTTTTATATATAAACAAACTTTTTGGTTCCCATTTTTTGAAAATATTCTTTAATGTTTTACTTTCTATTTCCAGGACTTAAAGTGTGCTTATATAATTTAAGTATTTCCTCGGATACCGTACTGTGTTAGCCTGTAAATTTAAAAACAAGTAGTCCTGTGGTAACTTAGAGACTAACAAAAATATATAGTATTATGAACTTTCATGGGCAAAAACCACTTCATCATATGATGAGCTGGACATCAGGTCACGATAAAAACATACAGATTAAAGATTATCCTCAGTCTTCCACTTATGTTTATCAGTTATCACCATCATAGAAACGTCTGTCCTGGACAGACTCAGAGTATCAAAACTATGTTGTATGAAATTATGTGAAAACCCACACCGTGTATTCAAAGATTCTAGCCTTCTATCATCTAAGTACTGGGCAGGCAGCCAGAGGTAAATTGTAAGCTCAGTCATATTTCCTATTCCAGTGTGATAGTTGGAATTCTTCCTTACCAGTGCAGAGTAAAATAAAAGATTTCACGGTAAACTACTTAGAATTCAGTCAGAATTTATAATGAAGTATTTTCCTGAAATCAAATTAGAAAACTATAACCATTGTGCACTAATCTGTCTAAATATAAAAAGAAAAAAGTTAAAGTGTGTCCATTTTATGTATATAATTCATTTAGATTCCAGAAAACATTTTCCCTTTTTGCTGCAGTATTAGAAAGAACACTCTCCAATTCTTCTGGCCTCAGGCAAGTTTCCATCTTAGTCTGCAACATCTGCTTGTAGCTGACCAGACTTTAAAGTTTAAAGCAACAATACAAACAGCTCATTTTTAAAGCTTTTTTTTTTTTTTTTTTTTTTAAGATTCCCTTCCCTAGGTGGCATCTCCCCCAGCACTCAAACACACAAATCACATAAAATATATAGCAAAGCAGCC